TAAAGTGGCCACTGCTACACTGCCACAGTTAAATTAAGGTCTAACTTCAACCTTACACTTTACATATATTCAATAAAATATTTAGCAAATGAGCTATCGAGACATTAATGACATGAGTCATTAAAACATGAACCACTAAGAATTAAAACAACTGTCAATAACCGTCCATCTTGAAGAAAGAAGATGGCGCTACCACATAATAAGGCCTCAAGAAAAGAGAGATGTTGGTGGAGGGGGTGTAATGCTACCAACAGGCCCAGATTCCACTCAATTTTACAGTATATCCCAGGAGCCTGGGGTCCTAGAATGTTCTGTGTAGATGTGACCAATATGACCCACTAGAGAAAGTGAAATAAAATGGGGAAGGAGAAGACAAAACAAATGAGCCAGCATGTTTTGATGCATTATTCTATTTGCCTTCTATTCCACTTTACCCATTTTTCTTCCAAGGGCAGTGTTTTTTTAATTAGCTTGGTAGCTAGCATTTTTTTTAGAGGAAGGGGTCACCAGTAGTAATTACATTATTTTATTATGATCGGTTTCTTTTAATTAAAGCTACCTGTAACACTGTGTATGAAAGCATTTCCCCTTATTAAGACATAAGTCATTAAAATGACACAAAAGTAATTGCTGCACCCCTCCTAGAATCTACAGAAATATGTCATAACAACCTGGTACCTATGTATAAAAGAGAACCTCCAGGTCACAACCTGAAATGTGCGGGGTTGGCATAATATTTATTTATTTATTTATTATTGGTATTTATATAGCGCCGACAATTTACACAGCACTTTACATAGTTGCACATTCACATCAGTCCCTACCCTCAAGGAGCTTACAATCTAAGGTCCCTATCTCACATAATAATAGTTTCCATCTCTTTTCTGGTGTTATGAACCTTTCAATAGAAGTGGTCACCCCAAGCTGGAGGTGGAGGGGTCAGTGGGGAACTGGCCATTACTCCCTATGTATGAGTCTGAGTGGCTGGACAGTGGTCTAAGATCATTTTAAACACATGTACTAGATTCTATTTAATATGTATCTCAACCCAAACACTGAACCAACTATGTTGTCACAAATGTCCTGTTATGTCAAACACTTGTTTTTTTTTTTGTACATTTCCTGCTTCCAATTAAATGACTTGGTAATTTTACCACCAAGGTGGATTCACCAGCATTTCGTTCCCTAGGATTTACTCAATTTAACGGCAGCATTGTCACACATTCCTGTTTTGTGCCACGTTAGACTACAAGTACAGCAATTGTAGTCAGTGCAGTAAAACTGTGATGTTCAGCTGGCACTGCAGCTTGCAAACAGAAAAATCATACAAAGAGCCAACAGGATGGGCACAGTGCAGAGAGAGAAAGGGATGGAATAATTCATAAAATAACTAATATTCTTTCATTTAAGCTCCACTGTAGTATAATTTTCTGCTGCAGGGTGTGAAAGGGGGTGCAGTAATACCCTTTATGGTAAAAGTAAACTGATCTTTTAGGGTATCCACACATAAGAATGGTTTGTTACAGAGTTCAAATGATTCCAATACATTCATAAAATGATTTGATAGCAATGGATATAATTTTACCTTCTACCTCTACCACTTGTTCGTAGCTGTGCAAATTGTTCACATCATCAATACTGCTGCCACCATCTGGGCAGAGTTGGTCATAACATCTTAGGTGTGTGTGCATTAGGAAAAACTCACACGATTATTCACAAAAGGATGAAGAGTTTGGAGAAGACAGGAGAAGTGAACAATCTAGGATAACAGAGCTGATTTGGAAAAATTCTCCAATTCAGCTCACTTTCCAGTTCAGTTATGATGTCCTAGATTGCCCACTTCTCCTGCCTTCTCCAAACTCTTCACCCTTTTGTGAATAAACCTTGTAAATATATTGGCTATATGATGTTTGAGATATTGCAGGCCATTTCCAAGTTCAGATAGAATTAATAAAATCTATACATTGTTGTTCCATAGCAAACCATGCATATGAATGAATGTATTTGAGCTAGGCATGCTGTGCATTTTACCAAAATCTTCATAATGTTCATCTAAATATACTCTAAAATATTAATGTTGATCTCAATGTTTTTTTTTTATTAGCCCTTCAG